CGCAGATAGGGGGAATGGCCCGAGAATGTCCATGCCGACTTGGTCGAACGGCGTGCAGGGTGCTTCAATGGGCTGAAGCAAACCAGCTGGCTTAACAGATGGTTGCTTTCGACGCTGACATTCCCGACAGCTCTTGACGTACTTCTTGACGCTTGCGGAAAGTCCTGGCCAATAGTACCTCTCACTCACTCTGGCAAGTGTCCGTGAGTAGCCCAGATGACCGGATGTGGGTTCGTCATGGCAAGCGAAAAGGACGTCGTCTCGCATGTCTCGAGGAACCACCAGGAGGTAGGTACGGTTGTTCGAACGAGCGTTCTTCTTGTACAGCACACCCTCTCGAAGGCAGAATGACGGCAACGAGCGGGATAAATGACGTGGTATGATTGTGTCCTGGCCCTCTAAATGATCGATGATCGGACGAATCTCTGCGTCATCCCGCTGCAGTTTACTCAAGTCCGATGAGCTAATGGCGCCCAGGAAGCCTTCGTCTTCCTCTGCTTCCTGACTGACGACATGAAGGGGTGCGCGTGACAGTGTGTCAGCGTCTTCATGCTTACGGCCGGACTTATGGACGATGGTGACGTCAAATTCCTGCAGCCGCAAGCTCCACCGTGCTAGCCGTCCTGAAGGGTCGCGCAGGCTTGCCAACCAGCAGAGGGCATGGTGGTCCGTCACTACCTTGAAGGGACGACCATAAAGGTACGGGCGAAACTTGGTGATTGCCCACACGACTGCGAGGCACTCTTTCTCCGTAGTGGAATAATTCGCCTCGGCACGGGATAGAGAGCGGCTGGCGTAGGCTATCACCCTTTCGATGTCGTCTTGACGCTGAACGAGCACTGCACCAAGCCCAACGTTACTAGCGTCAGTATGGACCTCCGTGTCAGCATCATCGTCGAAATGAGCGAGAACGGGTGCTGATTGCATGCGCTGTCGCAGTTCATCAAAAGCTGCTTGTTGCTCGTTTTTCCAGACAAACGGCGTGTCGTCCCTTGTGAGACGAGTCAGAGGTTCTGCTATCTGTGAAAAGCCATGAATGAACCGGCGATAGTAGGCGCACAAACCAAGGAAGCGCTGGACGGCTTTCTTATCGACAGGAGCTGGTAATTCGGCAACAGCGGCAAGCTTGTCTGGATCGGGCCGGACTCCTTCAGCGCTAACTACATGTCCAAGAAATTTCAGTTCTTCATAGCCGAAGTGGCACTTCTGTGGCTTTAGAGTGAGGTCCGCCGATCGGATAGCCTCCAGCACGCTGCGCAGGCGCTGTAGGTGCTGCTCGAACGTGGCAGAGAAGACCACCACATCATCAAGGTAGACAAGACAAGTCTGCCACTTGAGCCCTGTGAGGACAGTGTCCATCATTCGCTGGAAAGTTGCCGGCGCTGAACACAAGCCGAAAGGGAGTACTCGAAATTGGTATAGGCCGTCTGGAGTCACGAAGGCTGTCTTTTCGCGGTCTCGCTGATCTACCTCGATTTGCCAGTACCCGCTTTTGAGGTCGAGAGAAGTGAAATAATGGGCACGACGAAGTCTATCCAGCGAATCGTCGATACGCGGTAGCGGGTACACATCCTTTTTGGTCACGTTGTTGAGCTTTCGGTAATCGACGCAGAAGCGTAGCGATCCGTCTTTCTTTTTAACAAGCACGACTGGAGATGACCACGGGCTGTTGGATGGTTCGATAACGCCATCGTCAAGCATCTCGCGAACTTGCGTACGTATCGCTTCACGTTCTTTAGCCGACACGCGGTAGGGGTGCTGGTGTATTGGGCGTGCGTCCTCGTACGTGATGATCCTGTGCTGAGTGATGGACGTCTGGCGGATCTTTGAGCAACTTGCGAAGCAAGACCTGTACTCGAACAAGAGCGCTCGCAGCGCAGTCTGGTTATCGGTGGACAGATCAGGATTGATGTCAATGTTGCTCATTGATGTGTCTGCGTTATCCACTATTTCTGACGTGGGACAGTTAGTTACGTTTGCTACTTCGTGGGCAAACGCTATCGAAGTGCCACGGAAAAGGTGTCGATGCTCGTTGCTAAAGTTGGTAACGAGCAATTCAGATCGGCCGTCGCGAACGTGAATTACACTTCTCGCTACACATATGCCTTGCTGCAGGAGGTGTTCTAAATTTGTCTCGGCCACCACATCGCCATCGCTCAAACCACAGCATCTTACGTCGACTAGAACATTGTCTCGGGGAGGAAGCGTCACGCTCTGTTCAGAAATACGGAGTACGTCGACACGCATTCCGTCATCCTGCACGTTGATTGCTCGCTGGGCTGAGAACGTGACGCGGCGCTCTTGCAGATCAATGATAGCTCCATTTTCCTGTAGAAAATCAACTCCCAGAATGACGTCACGGGAGCATTCACGTAGAACAAGGCAGCTTGCTACGAATGTGTACCCTTGCAGTGCTCGTTCAGCGTCAAGACGACATCGAAAGGGTGATAGCCTACGCCAGCCGCTCTCTATCCCGTGCCGAGGCGAATTATTCCACTACGGAGAAAGAGTGCCTCGCAGTCGTGTGGGCAATCACCAAGTTTCGCCCGTACCTTTATGGTCGTCCCTTCAAGGCAGTGACGGACCACCATGCCCTCTGCTGGTTGGCAAGGTTTGTACCGAAGTGCTGGTCATGTTTGTTGACGTGGTGGTAGCAGTATCGTTGACTTCCGGAGGCAATCCCCTGATTCGGCGGCTCGTCCGATGCACGGGAGTATTGACTGGTACTGGACTCGTATTACGGCTTCCTGGGGGGGTCTGCAGCATCCGTGAGACTACCCAGCACCTCCACCAGTTTGTCACGATGAGTCACAAGTACTGGGAGATATATTGAACAACCGGGTAGCTAGCTCTAGGACGATGCGTCAGTCGTGGCTGGCTCTCGAGCCGAGAAGAGACACGCAATTCTTCTTCCTTTGCTCCAGATGGTAGAGCCGCGACAGTTAATCTTTGGCGGCAGGGTAAAATAAGGCCCGCACCGTGATAGAAAATTCAGTAATGTGGGATCGCTGTCAAAAAACATTTCGTTGCCGCGAGATACGCATACAAGGGCTTCTATGAACGTTCGCTGGGGATTCGGAAATATTTCGTTGCCGCGGGGATTTCGTACTCGTGGGGTTTCGATACTGCGGGTTTCGACTGTATACCGTATTTACTCGCATAATCCTTGCACTTTTTTTGGCGGAAAACCGATGCAATGTTGGGGGTGCGATAATTACGTGGGGAAAACTTTCACGAAAACGTACAGAGCGAAAACAAAAAAACGAAGTAGCCGCAAATCGGGATTCTCAAACCAGCAACTAATAGCAAGCTTTGCGAAGTGTAATTAAAACTTACCTCAACAATAAAAGTGCAGGTTCAACACAAGGCAAGATTTATTTGAGACACAAAAAGTGGAAGCAAATAGTCGAGAATTAGAATACCATACGCAAAGCTTGTGGCCGTAGCGGTAGCGTTCGTCGCTCAACTGGAGCCCTCAAAAAATAAGCGTAGGATGTCAGTATTAAGCTGATGGCTATTTAATAGAAATATCCGCAGTTTTCTTCTGAAGAAAGAAAGTTTACCATCAATCCGAGTTTTGGGCACACGGCAGGCCCAACGCGTCTTGGTGGCTTACAGCTGCCGTCACCAGTAGCAAACACAAAACTCGTAGACTCCGAAGGGCCTACCGGCGACCCTGTGGCCGTTGTTTAGTGCATGATCTATCACTTTCAAACTTGAAGGCAGCCGTGTAGCTTCAGTATCGCCCCATAACGTGACAAGATTACCGACACAACATACAAAACCGGCCGCAACGCGCACTTGCCACTTTGGCGTGGCTTGAATTAGATTGAATCTCCGTGCAATAATAGTGCGCTTGAAGTTTAATAGATGGCGCCAGATGGCACGCGCTATTATCATCAGTGGCTGGAACGAGGAGACGACATTATTGCGGCAGTTTTCAGAGATGCGATAGTTACTCGAAGGAAAAAAAAAATCATATTTTTGTTGGGCGATGGGGGGGTGGGGGGGTGCGAGAATTATGTGAGTGTAAAGATTTTGCAAATAAATACGGTATTAAGGAGAAGGCTTGGAGGAATACAGAACACAAGAAAACACAGAATCGACTTTTTCGAGAGAAAAAAAATCTTGGTTTTTCGACCCGCATCTTCCCTTAAAGTGTGAAAAGGGTCTGTTGTCATTATAGCGGCAGGCAACAGCGAAATCGTCCAGTGCTTTTTATAGTAGCGGAGCTGTGACGTCACACAATGGGCGAGTTTCCTGCGCTGCTCAAAGATGCTACAACGCAGGCACCGCTGCGCCACAGAGGCATTCATCCACGCTATCCGCGTATTGAAATGCTCGCGCACTGCGAGACAAGCTGATGGAAACGATGTGCTAGAGTTAGCGGTAACGTGGCTAGAGTTAGCGGTTAGCTGTAAAGATGGCTAACACACGTCATATGCCGGGGTTCCGTTTTGGCCACAAGGGAACCAGAAGGCTGTCAGCATTCTCCTTGTCCCCTGACAAGCAGCAGTGCCAAGAAACTGCCACCTCAGTGCCGGCAGTTTCGTGGCCAAAAAAAGGCTTCAATGACTCTGGCAACAGTTAAGAGAGAGCATTATGCAATGTGATCGGAAGTAAGTAGAAAGAAACTCAGTTTGTCAGGTATGTAAACACCGAGCTTTACATTTTCCCTTTTTTTTATTGTGCAAGGGTTCTTGAAATTTCTGAAGAAAAAGAACAAAAAAAAACAACCCGCCAATGGGTGGAGAACTTTTCCTCTTTGTTAATCTACCATTATTTTGCAGGCCCCCACAAAACTGATTTAGCTAAAAAAACTGCTGCTTGGACCAGTGGGATCATGTTTACTGCAGATTTATGACAGACGCGCTTTGTGTGTGTTTCTCACAATTCCTTAGTGTTCTGTGGTTTTCGTCTGTAAAATCTGTCAAGAACTGATCAACTACGAGAGCATGGGTTATGAAGAATATGCCGTGTGTACCGATTGGTCTTTTCAGCTCTCCTGGAAACAGTCACGTGCTTCCACAACCTGAGGTGGCTCGAGCTGATTGGTGTCAGCGCAGTCACTGACGCAGTGGTTGCAGCCATTGCTGGACAGAACAAGCTCCTCACGACCCTCAGTCTGAGTGGTTGTGTGAACGTTAGTGACGATGCCCTTAAAGTGTTGGGACAGAACTGCCACTTCTTGAAAAGCCTCGACTTCTCATCGACCCAGGTCAGTCAGTTCTGTGATCGGTTCCCGTACCCGCACCTGTTAACCCTTTAATGCCCGAGATATGAAATCACCAAAGATAATGAAAAATTGTTCTCATTTTCCACTTTCAAATAGCAACTTTTAATTGATTTACAGTTAAAGATATAAAGCACAACATTAAAGCAAACTTTAGTTGCAAATTCTCCATATGCCGGAGAAGGAAGGACCTTGCAACAAAATGTGTACTTCAGAACTATGTAACAGTCGTGAGCCACGTCTTGGTTGCGTACACACCTAGTGTACAATGATATTGAAGCTAGAACTTACTGTAAAAGCCTGCGTATAGCCCGGGGTTTTTTTCAAAATTTTAGGGTACGAAATTTCAGCCCCGTACTATATGCAGGTCCCAAGAATTTCTGGCGAAAATTCAGTTTTGGTTTCGGCATAGCGCGGTGCTATAATCATTATCAGGTCACTGCGCACTTCTGCACTAGGTAGTGTTTCCAGCGGTAGCAGGCATTAGTCTTACAGACCCACGTGTGCAACAGTGGGCCGTGGCCTTTGCTTCAACTTGGAGGCCATAACGACAGCCATGATTTTGGTCCTGTGATTTTATGCCATGTCAGCATCGCTCTGGCACTACTCGGCTGCTTTTAAAAAGAAAGTTATTCCTGCTGCCGAAACCATTGACAACTGTGCCGCAGAGCGGCAGTTTAGAGTCAGCGAGCGAAGTTGGAAAGCGGAAGGGTGCCCTGTTTGCTTACAGCGACCAGCGGAAAAGTTTCCACAGACGGAAAAATGCAGAGTTTCTTGTCGTGGAACAAGAACTCGCAGACTTTGTGCAGGAGCAGCGAGCTGCACATGTCACTGTTATCATTGAGCTGCTACAAGCGAAAGGCAAAGGGAGGTTGCCCAAGACAAAGGCATTCAGCCGGAGCATTTCAAGGCGAGCAAGCATTGGGTGCTTCTCTTGATGCGCCGCGCTGGGTTCTCCCTACTTTGGCGTACGTCAATGTCGCAGAAGCTACCAAAGTGCTACGAAGAGGACCTTGTGAAGTTTCAAATGCCTGCAATTGCGTTGCGAAAGGCTGTCTCCTTTCAGCTGGGCCAGATTGGCAACGGGGATCAAACGCCGGTCTACCTGGTATTGCCCTCGGCGCTGATAGTGCATGAGAATGGCTCCGGGCAAGCTATCATGTGATCGACTGGGAACAAAAAAACATGGGCGACCGTAATGTTGTCCTGCAGTGCAGGTGATATCAAGCTTAATACCCTACGTGGTGTTCAAAAGAAAGAGGCTGCCGAAAGGGGAAAAGTTATCAAAAAATGTCGTCGTCGGCTGCCAGGACAATGGGTGGATGGACGAATCGCTAGTGCTTGACTAGATACAGTCTCTGTGGTGTCGACGGCCCGGAGCAGTGCTGGGGCTTCCTTCAGTGCTTGTGGTGGACGGGTTTCGGTGGGACCTGATCGGCTCCATGAAGTGACTGCTGCACGACTCCCTCTCCGAGCTCGTCGTGATCCCGGGAGGGATGACATCACAGCTGCAGTCACTTGATGTGTGCCTTAATAAGACAATTAAGGACCATGTCAAGTGCCTGTATGCGGAGTGGATGAGGTCCGAAGAACCAGAAAATACTCTTGCCGGGCGGCTGAAACTTGCCTCGCCAGTGATGCGGTGCTTCGTGGATAGTCGAGGCTTTGGCCTGCATTCCCGAGGTGCACGTTCGCTGTGTGTTCAAAAAGTCCTCTATCGCAAACGCGCTTGATGGCACTGAGCACAATGTGCTGTGGGAGAACATATCCAACAAGGGAGCTTGAGAACAGAGTGCGTCCGATGGCGACGATGAGTGAAGTGTGTCGATAAATGCATTTTTCAGTTTTACTCAGGCTGTATTTGGTTGAAAAATTTTTTTTGGGTTTGCTACCCCCAAGTACATCCCGGACTGTATGAGGGTCTGAGTTATATGCTGGCTTTTACAGTAAGTTACTCAGGCGAGAAAGATAGAAGCGAGAGCTCTCGCACGTGCCTCGCGCTGTATGTCATCACCTACAAAACATTTGATTCTAGCATTTAATAGCTCACATGAGTTGGCACTAGGTTATTCATGCTGAAAGCGACGCTTCCCTTGAGTAGTTGAAGGCTAACATTAACGTGGCACGCGTTTTGGATTTTGCTTGCTCGAAGTTTTTCAGTATGTCACAAATTCCTGACTTTGGAAGTAAAGGGTAAGTTATCCTGATTTGCGAAAGGCTCCTAAACTTTGAGCATTCCTTCTGATTTCATGGGCCAGCCACAAGTTTTCCGAACTGCAGCCCTAAACTAGATGTGATGCTTTAAAGTTTATTGTATTTTTTTAATGGCATTTGCATGAGGAACGTTAAAGCCACTTTCACAACTGGACATCCCTTTTACGTGGTGAAGCTTCTCAAGGTGGGAAAGGAGCAGCTAGCCGTAATGACCCTCAGCCTATTTCGTTCCTTAAAGGGGCCCTGCAACTTTTTCAAGCAGCCATGGTAGGGATCTGCTAAAGGATTCACTTATTCACTGCGGCAAAAATTTTTAGAATCCATCTACTGTGAGCGGAGCTACAATAGTTTGTTGCACGCTGCAATTTCATTCTCTCTTCTCTGGTCCCGATGAAAGTGCTGAAAGCTAAGCATAGAGGGATGGCACAGAGAAACAAATACATCACGCATGCCTGGGACCCTGAGCACTTTTTCTCTACATGTATAAAAAATAAAACGCTTGTACCCTTGTCTCAAAGTTTCGATTTGTTTTACTGCAAATTCGGGGAGCTGCCGCTCCCTCCTTGCGAGAATAGATGAAGAAGCCTCTCGGGATTTTCGAAGTGGACAACCGCTACGTCTGGCAGCGGCTAGGAAACGTGAGACCACCTCAAGTGGCACAGACAGCGAGGCAACGGAGCTCTATTCCGACCGTTTCGAGTCATCGGGTGACGACTACACAGTTGTCATGAGCCGCAATGCAAAAAGAAGACTGCTACGAACATTGTCGACGACAAGTATATCCACCGTACAGGCTACCGCGCAGCGTTGGCCACACACTATACTCTTCATGGCTGTGGACCTTCAGCCAACCTACGGCGGCTTAACAGGCAAGTCCTCTCTGCATACCTCGAAGGACTCGCTCGAAATGAAATTGAAGACGTCAGGATCAACTCACGGAAGAATGTTCTGGCAGTTGATGTTCTACACCGTAGTGCGCTGCAAAGCCTACAGAACATCTCGGAAATCGACAGAGTCACAGTTAAATCAGTGATCCCCACTGACTGTAAGGGCAGTGTTGGCGTCATTTATGACGTGGACATTTCCGTTCCCGCTGACAATTTCCCAATCTTGATAAAGCCAACTACAGACGACATCCTCATCAAGCACATCACAAGGCTTGGTCAGTCACGATGCCTGAAGATTCCTTTTGAGGGAGACAGTCTTCCCCCACACGTCAAAGTTGGCCACGTTCGCCATCAGGTCCGTCCATACATACCGAAGCCCCTACAATGCTTCAGATGCTTCAAGATGGGACATGTCAAAGGAGTATGTACCAGCAATGTGGTGTGCCGAACCTCATTCAGAAGACACCTGCCACGCAACTGCGTTCAAATGCTCCAATTGCCCCGGCGCTCATAAAGCGTCGACTAAAGATTGCCCACGAGTGAGAAATGACCGCACGTTCATTTCTCACTCGTGGGCAATCTTTAGAGGCATGGTGCGCGACTATTCAACGCACAGAGAAGCCGCTGCTACTGTCAGGCGACGTCGGCGTCGCCACAGAAGATCATCACGCAACGTGGCATCTGCCGATAGAGACCCGTCATCTCAAGCGAGAAGAACTGGCCCCCCATCGTCAAGCTCTGCGAAGACGGATACACCGAAAACAGAATCAGGGTCAAGACTCCCACCTCGTGAAGAGTGGCCATAACTTCCACGAACACAGCCTGTTTCAGAGGTGCATGAATCTCCGCCAATCTCGATGCCATCACGAACCACTGATGAAAAGACAACTGAGGATCGCCAGGTCATCAACATGTTGCAGACCCTTATGAGCGCAATGCGCATGCTCCTAAGCAACATGAACACCCCATCAGCGCAGAGCGCACTCCAAGTGCTGGACACTGTGAGTCCGATGCTTGCAGCTCTAAGGTAAAACGATGGCCCGCAACATGTTATCCTTTTGAGAAGAGGTCAAGATTGCATCTGTCCTTCAGTGGAATGCCAGAGGACTTAGGGCGCGTATGTCCGAGTTCCGACAGTATGTTTTCACGAACCAGTTCTCCATAATTGTAATTTGTGAACTGAACCGGTCAGCTCAGATGAGACTGTCTGGATATGAGTGCTTTATGTCTTCTACCCACGGAGAGCGCAGCAAGGTCGTTGTGTTCATACGGCGCGACTTAACTTGTGTTCATCACCCTGTACCCCCTGACGAAGAAAACCAGTACGTTTGCCTAACAGTAAAAAACAAGAAGACCACATTCACCATCATCGGAGCCTACTTACATTCATTAAGTCGTCTAGACCGTGAGTGCTTGTGCGGAATTTCGAATTCAACTCTCCAGCCATGGGTGATAACTGGTGACTTCAATGCCCACCACTACTTATGGGGAAGCTCCAGGGTCAACACTAGAGGTAGACAGTTAGTGTCTTTCGCTTCTGAATGTGAACTTATCCTCGTTAATGACGGCAGCCCTACTCATCTGCGCGGATCGACCTATAGCAGTTGCCTGGACCTCACTTTCGTCTCACGCTTGTTCACACGCAGAGTGCACTGGTTTAGGGGTAGTGACCACATCCCAACATACCTGAAGATTGACGGCTTTCCAAGTCTCAAGTCCTCCAGAGCCGTCCAGTGCACTGATTGGCAAAAATACAAGTTAATCATGGAAGACTATGTTGGCGCCTCACCTTTCAACCTAGAGGACGCAATAAAGAATGCCCTTCAGTCAACGACGCATTCGCTTCCGGTGAGCTCATCTCGCGCTGATATGGACATTGATCTC